GATAGAGGAGAACACTACTTGTGCTCCTGATCCCTTAACCAGTCGTCCCAAGGCCCTGAAGTCTCTCTTGATTGCCCTCAGACTTCTTGTTGCAACTTCATTGCTGCCTACCTGAAAAATCAATAATGGATAATAATCTGAGGGCCATACCAGGGTAGGAAGCTTTCTCTTCACATCTTTAACCTGGGCCTCAGGGAGGCAGCAGGCTTCCCGAAGAAGTGGGTCTGGTCTGCATATTGGGCCTTTTGTTCCTTTCAGAAGGGAGTCTCCTATGACAATGACCTGTCTTTTTTTCTTTATGGAAGCAGTTTTGACGCAGGGTGTAGGCTGACTTAACTTTGGTGACACCCAACAATGCCTATAATACACAGTACAGCCCCCCCTTTTCAATTAGACACGTATTTTTAATTTTGTGTATATATTTGACTTTGATATTGATAAAGATGGTTCCATGCTGAAAATACAGGGTGGATAAGTTTACCATTAGCTAATTGTTAATATTTGACAGTGCTAATGGTCTGGTTTTGAACTCTCATAGTTTTTTTTAGAATTTATCCACCTGTTGCCTATACTTGACGGGAAGGTTAGGGATTACTTTTTCCTAAATTGTCATGCCTTAATTATGTTTTAAACTGAGATAAGACGACAGTGGCCATGGGAGAACAGCTTAGGTATGTTTTGTGGATATTAGGGTTTCTTTTAAGGACACTGTGAAGGAAAAAATACTCCGTTTTTGAATATCTATTAAGCTCCACTTTTATATGCAAAAGGAAAAGAATTACTCTTTCTGTTAAAGAGCCACTAGAATATGAATGCTTGTGGTGCTAATATTCCAGTGAGGAAACCTGCTTTTTGTTAGTGTAGGAAGAGGGTTTCTTCCTTCCCTGTTTGGTTAACAGAGTACTTCTCTTTGGTGAGTACTTCTCTATGCACCTATGGATGTTTAATTTGCCAAACTCTAGGGGTTAGTAAACATTCCTTCTGTTTTAATCTCATCAACTCTCCAGCTTCAGTGTGTATGAAAATAAGGTGGGTTTTTTTTCTCTTGTATTTATTTTCAGACATTAGCTGCTTCTAAATCTTGCTGGTCTGAACAGTGTCTCTGGGTATAAGTTCAGACCATGCCAAGAATATTAATTATATTAATGAGATTGCATCACAGGGTTTTTAAGAAAGATGCAATGAAACTTTCGAGGCATCCAAACCTAGAATTAGTATTTTTGTATTTTTAGTTAACAGATTTAAAGGTGTATTGAAATAGTTATTCTGAAATACGAAATACAGTATATTAATTGTCAGGAGCTAAAAAGAAGATGGGAAGGGTGAGGTTACTAGAGTCCATATACTTCTGCAGGTGAAGGTTTTGTAGAAATTGCTGCTTTATGAGAGCTAGTAGGACTTAATTATGTTGGCTTAAGTACTCAGGTTTTCGTGGTGTGGTATTAATACTGAAGGTAGACATCATTCTTTTGATATGTGTAATTTTTCAGTTTTAACTGTCATGTTTTGACAGATTGAGTCAGGAGTAATTTGTAGAGCAGAATATGTGTTTCCATGTGTAAGTAAATCGGCATGATGTTTCTGATCTACATATTGGTGGTATGCTTCAGACTTTTGTAAATATTCACTCATAATGGTGGTTAAATAGTTTATGAAAATACTGGAAAACGTGACTGAATTTAACCAGAAGCTTCATTCTTTATCAGTTATAGGGAAGCTGGGCATTTGTTCTCCATTTTTAGAACCTGAAAAATCAGTAGCTTAAAACAACTTTAAAATCTTTTTGGACTTGATATTCCTGCTTGTAGGAGTAACTTCTGAGGTGAGAGTACACTTTCGGCTTCTGCTCTCTGCTCTGCAGGTTGAGGATAAAATTAAGACCTTGCCCTTTTTTAAGCACAAGAAAGTGCAGAAGCTAATAATAACGCTTTCTGTCTTTTTTTTCTTTCACAGCTGTTTTAGTGCAGTTTTTTTCTATTCAGAGAAAGGGCCTGTGTCCAACACACATCAGTCCAGAATTACCATCATTGTAGATCTTTTAATATGAATGGCTCTGTGCACAGCCTGAACTTCTAGATCTATGTTTTCATCTGGCTAGTAAGGCTTTGTGCCAATATTCTGCCATTGTGAAATGGTACTGGATCATAAATTGGTATGTTGAACTTCAAAATACTAACAGTTTCGGGAAAGGCAGTAATCAGAACTATGTTGTGAAAAAAAATTTAAGAGGACACTGGGAAAAGTAGGACTCTACGCTTTAAGAATGAAGGGCAGTAAATGATAAATTTGTAGCAATTAGTGGTAGAGAGAAAGTAGGAAATCCTGTGCTAGTGTATTAACACAAGAAAAAGGGAATGCTACACAAATTTGAAAGAACAAAGAACTGACAAGGAAACAACTTTTCCAACAGTGGACAACATTGAGCATAGAATGGGTCAGTTCTTGATCTCAGTAATACCCTGAAAAAACCTAAAGGTTAATTTTAAAAGAAAAAAGTGCACTTGTACTCTGAAATAATCTAAAGGTTATCTAAAAAAAGAAAAAGTGTGCTTGTGGTGCTCCCTGAGTATCAGGATAACAGTGGCCAAGCCTGCTACGGAAAGCACTGTTGGAAATAAGCAGCCCTCAGACTTTGTGATTTGAGGGAATCTTCAATGTAATCATATTCTGCTGAAGTGTGAAATATGTTAATTTTGCAGAAGAGATTGGAAAAGCAAGCCTGCAAAGTGTGCTTGAGAACGGACCTCTAATGTCAATAAGGATGCTGTGAGAGTAAAAATCTGATAATCTTCTCTGTTAGAAAAGAAAACATACATGATATTTTGGTGAAATGTACTGGTTATTGTAGTTGGTTTTGAATATCTAAAAGGTTAAGTTGTAATAATATATGCTGATACAAGTTTGAGGAAAGTAGTTTGCATAGCTAAAAAGATGCTTTCATTAGAATAGTGAAGAAATGCATAGAGAAATGTGTGGAATATTAAAAGGCATGTAATAGTGGAATGTTCCTCATAGTGTCTGTAAATAATGCCATGTGGCCAATATCCTATGAAGATAGAAAAGGCAAACAATGTTTTTCTAACGAAAGGTAGAATTAATATTCATTGAAGAACGCATACATTTCCAGGCAAAAATCAGTAATATGACTGGTCAGAAAATAGTACTGCAAAAGTAATTACTGTTAGTTGGGCCCTGCTTTTTAAGAGCATTTTATGTGCTTTTTAAGAGGATACAGCTGTTCCTTTCTGGTAGTGTTAAAGATTAGTCATTTGTAAGTTGCTATAAGCAGTCTCTGTGGAGGCTCAGATTACATGCACCTGAAGTTCATACCACTTTTTTCTGATGTGTGCCATGCAGTGGTCTGCAATAGGTAGTGGAGAGCATAGGCCCATATATATGGCACTAGTTTTCTTGCTAGTCTGAAGTTAGCAGTACACAGCATTGTGAGAAAATTGATGCCTTGCCCTAGATGTAAAACCAGGATGTGATTTAAGTGATTGAGAGTTTTTTTTCTCCTTTTCATTGTTTGAGGACTTCAGATTTCTGTTTCCATAACTCGCTTTGGAGGCTTTGCCAGTCCCGTACCTTTTTGTGTTTCTGTGAGCCATGGATCCAGTGTGTTTTTTCATATAGTGGACTTAGCTTTATGGGAAGAAACTAGTTAAATGCATTGAGAAAATTCTTTAAAACTTGAATATTAGAACTGTAATCTGACAGTAATAGCAATTTTTTGTGTTGTCACATTGCTGATTGGCAGCTTTTATCTTTATTGCATTTTTAATCCTGTTAGATCTCATGCGACGTCAAGAAGAATTGAGGCGTTTGGAAGAACTTCGAAATCAAGAACTTCAAAAACGCAAGCAGATACAATTGAGGTATTTTGTCTTCTACTGCGCAAAGGTGTGGCATGCAGCTGCTGTAGGCCTGCATGAATTTATATACTCTAGCTTGTAGAGCTTGCTTTTGATATCAAATAAAAATGTTTCTGCTGCTAAAAAAGTTGCTTTTCAAAAGCATGTGTGAAGTCTCTGTTAATGTTCTTGAACAGAAAAGTGATCACTTATGCTAATACAGAAGAGTGGTTTCAAGTGTTTCTTGAATTTTTTCATTTATTTCAGCTCTACTAGTTCTGTTCTAAATTTCTGAGCTTTCTAAATAGTGTAGAAATGTCTTAACATAATTTTTTTAGTTCCATATGATTTATTTAACCTTGTGACTGAAGCATAGCTGTAATAGATATGAACATGCTTCTAAGATTTATGGGCAGGTGATCTGCATGTGGAATAGTAGCATTGCAAATGTACAGTCTGACATGAGATTTTTGGGGGTGTTTTCACTTGATATTCTGGTATGTTGCAAACAATTTTTCCTTTAAGATCTGATTCATACAAATACTTGCTTTCATGCCTCTGCTAAAATTTAAGAAAACAGACATAGTATCATCATGTTGATTGATTTTATATTTTTTTATGTTAAATATCACAAGAAATGTAGATGAGAAAAAAGAACAAAACACAAACACCTCGCAGAGTTAAAAATGTCTTTTGGCAGTATTGAAATGTTTTAATCCATAGTGACTTGTTAAAAACTGGAGTATTTTAACCTGCTTACCAATATGTAGCCGGAAGAACAGGTATAGAATGTACTGGTATTGTAATTACCTGTATTCCAGTTTAAAAAAAAAACGAACACAAAACTTCAATAATATTCAGACCCATCAGGTGGGAGTAGGTTAGTGCCTTACACTATATAAAAAATTAAATAATGCTTGATCTTTTTTCCTGAGACTGAGTACAAGCCTGAAGCTTGAAATTATCTCCTGAGACTGAGTACAAGCCTGAACAGGTCAAGAGTCTAAGTTGACATAGTTTTTGACAAATATTCTAGACATGAAGAAGAACATCGACGTCGCGAAGAAGAGATGCTACGTCAGAGGGAACAGGAGGAATTACGACGACAGCAGGAGGGAGGATTTAAGCCAAACTTCATGGACAATGTAAGTAAAATTCCATGATGAAAGTCCAAATTGTAAAAGACTTTTTTTTATTTTAATATTTTTATATACTAGCTATTGGGCTGCTGCCTTCTTGTTTACTGTTTTTCCTTCAGTATTCCATTGTTCTCATGAGCGGAGTGGTACGAATTTAGTAGTGTAGTTATTCTCTTGTACGATGGCATCACTGTTATTTTTCCTACAAGCTGGTGATGTTACATTTCAGTTAAGTGAAGGTGTTCAGATAATAATTTGCCTTTTTTATTCAGGAAATGAATTTTTCCAATAAAATAATAGAATTTTTCTAAGTGGGAGGTCATAGGAATAAATGATGTTTCCAAAAGATGATGCACTAGTTTGACTGAAGGTTTAAATTTTAAACCAGTTCAGGCTGTTAAGCTTGTCTGAATTGCTTGTTTTGGTTTGTGCTTAACTTATTAAGAATAATATACTTCAGAAACAAAATGGGCAGTGTTAACTTCATATGGAGCCTAATATCACTTTCCCCTTTGATCCTACGGTAAAACTAGACGAGGAAAACCTTAAAATCTTTACTAAAGGAGACCGAAAGATTATAAAGGTGGAAAAAAAATGGTCCTCTGCTATAATTTCTACATTATTTATATTAGTAATGTAGGTGTGTTCTCCCTCTGAAGATTCATCCTGCAGGACTAGCAAAATGGTGGTATCAGGAGAGTCAGTTTCTAAATTTTCATGATGATCTGTTTTGGTCAAGGGTATGATTTTTTTTTTCAACCAACCAAAGCAGTTAAATGAATGCAACCTGTATTGTGAATGCTTTATTTCATGTGAGAAGGATACATTTTGCTGTTGCAGCTATTCTTAGTGAGGAAGCAATGAATAAGCGATCTGCACAATGCTCTTCCACGTTATAACAACTGTAGTCTGCAGGAGGGAATTTTGCTCCCCTTTACACAGGTACAACTTGATACATAAATAAGAAACCAAACTGCTGGTTTCTCAGCTACTTTCTGATTTTGTGTTTTGTGGAAGAAATACCTATTTTACATTCTATACCATAACATTTTCTGTAGGATTGAGAAGAATATATTCAGTATGTTCTGAGACATCCTAAAAGAAGTTAGAAAATAAAAGGTTTCCTGCTCTCAGCAGGACATCTTTTTTCCCATCCTCTGCCCCTTAGTGTTTTTAGTAAAGATGGGGAGGAAGCAAAATTGTTCCTTTGATGTTGCTATCAGTTAATTTTTCTGATTGGGTTTTGAGAATTTGCAGCAGAAAACAATCGATCATTTATTTCCATATGTGCTCACACTGTAAAAGAAAACTGCTTTCAGCATTTGTTTGGGGTGATGAAGATCAAGAATTCAAAACTCATAATGTCCTTTAGTGTGTTCCCACATATTAAACATACTTTGTGAAATAGCACATAACAATTGTCTGATGTAATTTAGAAAGAGCACTTATTGATTGTGACTTCTGTAGTGCCAAATACAAAATTTCATTTCACCTTAATATCTTCATGTAGCATCTTTTGGGGTGGCGCAACTTTCTGACCCTATAAGCTACCTGTCAAAATCCTCCTGTGGCTGATCTGAGAGACCCATGCTACTCGCTGCAGGAGGGGGAAGTTGGGGAGCCAACCCACAGGCTTGAGATGGCAGTAGCTCCCTCAGATTCCATTGCTGTTAGGACATTGTGGTGGCCTGTAATCCTGCAGCTTGGGGTGCTGGGAAAACTAGGTAATGTTGGCCACAGCAACCTCTGCTGATGTTCTTGCAACAATGTTACTTAGCCTCTGTGCTTGAATTGCTTGCCACAGTTTGGCCATCCTCGTGCTTATCTGCATCTTTAAATTCTGAAGTCTGTGTGAATAGAAATTGTTCAAGTTGGTGTGCTGGACATGGCAAAAATGTAGCGTAAGAAGGGAAGAGGAGTGGTTCAAATGGAAAGCACTTCAATCACTATGCATAATTTTTGCGACTTTTATACGATGAAATTTTTTTGGGGGAAAGGTAAAGGTGGAAGAATGCTTTGGAAGAGTGTAGCTTTCCCACTGAGTTGCGTTACTGGAATTGTGTGTTCATCTGGAACTAATTAATACACTGCAAGAATACATAGATGTAGCAGTGCAGTGACAACCCTACCAAAAGTGTTATCAGTTATATTAAGGAATATATAGTACAGGTGGTGGTTTTTTAATATCATGAGAAGTTGAAGTGGCATATACAATAATTTAAAAAAATGTTTTCTCTAGCCTTCAGACTATTCTTTAGTCTTCTGGTCATGTGTTGACTTATGTTTTACTTCTAATGTCCTTTTAAAAGAGGAAGAATTGAAACAAAATTGGAAGTGTTGTATGTACTTTCTTTAGCAACTGTTTTTAATAAGGGCAGCTATGTAACTCTAAGCATGGCCTATCATTTTGTAGGCGTTCATTATAACATGTCTTTAGATAACTGTACTTAAGTTGTATAGTCTGAATGGGAGTTTGAAAAAGCCTTTGCATTTTGCAGCAGAGAAGAATTGTAGACGGTTTCTGGAGATTGCAAAATGATACATTGCATCTTTTTTCAATTTATTAGAATTTCTTATACAACTAAATTTTTTTTAATTTATTCTTACTAATACTTGTTTACTGTGAACAGACTCCATCTGGTAATTACTTCTAGTGTCAGATTACCATTGTACATACACTGAAAAAAGTTATTCTCTGTTTTAAGAGTTTAAAAGTTGCCTCTTGGTGAAAATTGCATTTTATGATACTGGTCGATAGTTTTTTTTACCATATCAGGTCTTGATAAACTCTTTTGGCATAATCCTTATAACTTATTAAAGTCTTCTGCCAACCATGTATTTAGAAGGAAAATAAAATAAGTTTCTAATCCTTGTTTTTGTTTCTTAAAAGCTTTGAAAAGTAAGCTTCCTTCACTTATATCCTATCACTTTTTACTGTTCAGTATAAAAGAAGGACATAAATGGTAAGTGCAATGACAACCAGAATTGGAACCTCTCATATAAGGCTGCAGTATTAGGCTTTCCTGTTTAAAGTTTCTTTCTGTATCTTTTCCCTAACTTGTTAAACTTTGATTTTTCAGTATGACTGCTTTTGAAAAACATCTTGTAATCAAGTTTAATGCAGTTACCAGTTACTCGGTTTAGTTACAGATGATAAAAATATTTTCGGTGTGGGGATTTCTCTTCCTGAAGCATTCTTGTTCATGGTGATGTTATATGTTAAAAATTTAAGTGCATTGATTGTTAATCTAATGGGCAGCCTAGTGATACCTAAACAATTTATTACTCTAGTTCTGTGATCTCTAGTAGATAAGTTATTGATAAACACTTTCATATTGGTTAGGGTTTTTCCCTTGCTTTCTAAAAGTCGGTTAGTTGAAATCTGCTGTTACAGCTCAATATATATGCATACTAATTTCATGATAACTTAATCGGGAAACTTGTTTTCCTGTAATATTTTGCTAATTTTTATTTTGCATACATATTGGTTGCTAAAAGAGGAGCTTGCTGATGGTGAATTGGAAGCAATATTTTATTTTTCAGCAGCACAAATATTTAAAAAAAAAAATAGTACTTCTAAGGGCTAGTAATACATTAATTATTCGAACCGCAATGGTTACTATCCTATTGTGAATGGCTTACATAGATTTACATTGTTAAATCTCCATCAGAGCCTTTTTACCAAATAATTCCAGTTCCAGGAACTACTTTTATTCATGTCACCAACTTAGAACAGTGAAAAGAGAGTGATTTGGATTTAATGTTTTAAAATAGTTTTCATGTGTCTACAAAAGAGGCCAAAATATGTAGGAGTTGTAGTCTTAGTTTTATGGTGCACAGATTTAATTTTGTAGTAACACTGCAAAACAGTGTCAGGTGGGTATTGTACTTAATGAAACAATAGCTGTGATACTGGCTTACAGCTGCTCTTACTGATGGTTTAAAGAGCGAGTTGAGACTTTTGGGTGTCCTTGTCTTCTTCCCTCCAAGGAAAATCCCCCTTTTTCAAGTGTTACTTGCATATGTAAGGACCTGTTTCTTGTGAGTTCATCAGTTTCAACTTCTGAATGCTTACTGTTCTTTTGTGTAAGACTGTATATTAAGTACTTAACTTTTTTTATCTCCTAGTCTTTTCAAGAATTATTTCTAGATGTTTTGCTTTCCTTTTAATTTTTCTTACACAGAAGCTCTGCTGCTCAAGTATGTTGTGTAAGTATTGGCATAAAGTGGCAGCCACTAAAGCAGTGGAGATTGCCTCAACAGCAGAGATTGTAGTGGACTTGGATCAAAAGCTGTAAGACAGATGAGAGCAAGGGAGTAAAAAAGCACATCCCAAAACAACAACAAAGTTCATAGCTTCAGGAATGCCAGAAAGTTGATTGGGAGAAAAAAAAACTATTTAGTCTTGTACTAAGAATTTTATCCTTCTTTGGAGCGGTTTATAAATGTAGCTTCTCATTTCTTTTGTTATTTTGAGCCTACTGAGGTATACCTTATCCCTCACTTCTACATTCACTTGCAAGTTTAGTAGTAGACATTTTTGAAAGAAGACTATCAGTTAGTTTTCCTTGGAGTTCTGTAAGTCATGAATAGTTTTTTGCACTTCTTGGCTCTTAAATGACTAGAACTGAATTTTTTTTTTTCTGTCTTCTGATTCCATTATCCTCAAAAGCCCCAGTTATGTAAGAAGTTTGAATTTTCACTGAATGCAGAATTGTTTCTCACGTTACTCAAAACTAAGCTAAGGCAGAATTTCAATAATAAATAAATAAAAATTTCCAAGGATCTTTTCAAATTTGATCTGTTTTCTACTACTAATAAATTTGGTTATTTTATCTTGACAGCCTAGTGTACTTAATGAAGCTGATGATGGCGAAGTTTTGTGAGGTGGTATGAATATAGTCTCTGTTTCTTAACAAACTGCTATAAAGCTAAGCTGCTTTATAAAAGCTCTTTTGCAGAGTTTGGTTGGGAGAGATGAATTACCTCCTTATTGCAATCCAGCA